TTTTTTGTTGATACATTTTATATTTTATTATATTGCCACTGTAAAACAATAATTGTCATATTCATTATTATATTCATTTGTATACTTTGGCCGACTGAGGCACATATTATATTCATGTGCTAATCAAGCACTTTAAAAATTACAGTTATTATTATATTCATGTGCTAATCAAGCACTTAAAATCATATTTATTGTTATACTCATATTCATTATTATATTCATTTGTATACTTTGGCCGACTGAGGCACACATTATATTCATGTGCTAATCAAGCATCATAAAAAATTATATTTTATATTATATATATTGCTCTTATTAATTATAGTCAGATCACGCACATACGTATTTTATAAATTATTACTATTTCATAGTGTGAAAGCGCAATCAGTGTTATATATTTTTATTATTTATATTAGCACTGAACGCTAGTAGCGCCAACAATATAGGAGTTTTCTGTGATCAATATTATGTGGTTAGTCCCTAGGTTCACTGTATCTGGTGGCTTTAAAAACGCGATGTAAACGAATACAGCGAATCTAGGACAGCCTAATTGTAGTCACCTAATACTCCTATGTGATGGCTTTTCTGTGTATTATAAAATGTCAATTGAGTGGTTCTCTCGCTTCTCGTCTTTAAATAGTATGTTGAGGGTCATTATTCGTTTACAACGTCTTATTAAATTGTATCGCAAGATTCCAGTAGACACCAGCTTCTTTTCATACCAGGAGTATAACGACGTACTGACAGCTGTTGTCAAGTATTCACAAGGTATGTTCTTGAAATCTTTTTTTCATGAGTTATCCTCTGGTAAGGCTGTCACTTCTCGTCCACTTGCACGTCTATAGCCTTTTATCGATGACTGTGGTGTCATTTGGGTAGGAGGTCGTCTTCGTCATTCCTTGCTGTCAGATCGACGCAAGTTTCCAGTTCTGTTGTCAAAGGCTTCATATTTGGCATTACTAATTACCCGACATTATCATCGGTTTGCTTGTCATGCAGATCCACGTCTCATGTCAGCTATAATATGTAGACAGTTCTGGATAGTGGGAGACCGATCTGTCATTCGTCGTGAAATTAGTGAATGCACTGTTTGTGTCAGGTTATCAGCTCACAACCTGCAGCCAGTCATGTCTGATTTACCTGACTTCAGAGTTCAGCAATGTGGGTATAGATTATGCTAGTCCCCTTATCATGAAGGAGACTAGCCTGCAAAAGGCACGACAATACAAAGTATATATTGCTGTATTTGTTTGCATGAGTGTCAAAGCAGTTCATCTTGAGCTGTTGACAGATCTGTCAACCGATGCCTTCCTGGCGGCGTTCAACCACTTTGTAGCTCGACGAGGAATGCCATCAGCAGTATATTCTGACTGGGAACTAATTTTGTTGGTGCATCGAAAAAGTTATATGATCTGGTTAATGATCCAAGAAATCGGGAGCAGTTCAGCTCAGCGTTTGTGTGTTCTTGGCATTTTAACCCCCCCAGTGCACCTCATTTTGGTGGGCTCTGGGAAGCCGCAGTGCGTTCAACAAAGCTATTGTTAATACGGGTAGTAGGCAATCAGGTGTTATCTTATGAAGAGTTCTACAGTTTTGTGTAGAATAGAGTCAGTTCTTAACTCAAGACCACTAACACCATCGTCAAATGATCCAAATGATCTAGATTACCTTTCTCCAGGTCATTTTCTTGTTGGTCGGCCCTTGTGTGCAGTGCCTGAAGCTGAGGTCATTATCAGTTCGATACACCTCAAAAACCGTTTAAGGCTCCTTCATCAGGTGCTTCAGGCATTTTGACATCGTTGGTCTAATGAGTATTTACATACCCTACTGACCAAGGGACGTTGGGTGATTAAAATGGAAAACACTAAATTGGGTGAGTTAGTTATCATTAAGGACAACACTTCATCTCCTTTACTATGGAAGTTAGGTCGCGTCCAAGAGCTTCTACCTGGCCCAGATGGAGTCGTTAGAGTAGTAAAATTACTTACCAAGCAAGGCCTAACAATTAGACCAGTAGTGAAGCTAGTTCCACTTTATACTCAATAAATATATTTCTATTAACTTATATTTATTTTAAATTTTAATTTACCTTAAAATTACTTACTAAAACTCTTTAATAAGCTATCATTAAATATTGTGTATTACCATAGTGCAACTAATTTTTTAACCAAAAGCTAGTTTGTTCAACGTTTAGTAACTATTAATGTTCCTACAGTCTCCTTTTCTTTCTTTTCAATATTTTTATTTGTATGAAAATGATATGATTGTAATGTGTGAAGTGCTACTACGTACAGAGTGCCTGCGTGCCTGCGTACAGAGTGTTGGCTCCTATGACTTCGCATTGCATCATGGATTATTATTAATTAATTAATTAATTTTGTTTTGTTATTATTTTATTAAATTTTATTTGACAATAGTAATTTTTTGTTATATTAGAGACTGCTCAATTATTATTAAAAAAAAAATGTATCTTCCCTTCTGTAACTGCTTAAGATAAGTTCTATCATCATCAACTACAGTTCCAGTTCAACAACAGTCCAGCTCGGTCATGGCTTTATCCATTCAGCTCCAGTTCAGCAGATCGCTTGTTCTACCTATGTACTACCCCGCTCAAGTATGAAGTAGTGATACACTATGTCTCACAAGGAGGAGTGTGTTCGTGCCCCGACATAGGTGCCACTGGTTCGTTGCTCCCCTTACCAGAGTTGGCGACACTGAGTGGACGCTTTCACCGCGCACCGCTGTTTCGCCTGGACAGCTTCGACGTCGCCGTTATTTAGTTCTGATATAGTCTCTTTTATGTTATTCAATGGAGTGGTACATGCTCGTCCACATTCAAGTTTTTCAAAAGCGCATGCTCGTGCATTATATATTTTTCATGCAAGCTCTGGGTGACATTGCTCTTTATTTGTCAGCCATCTACTTAATCCACGTCTCATTAGACAGCAACCAGTTCGGTGTGTCGATATTGTGTCGATATTAATATCGCAGTTCACCCTGGTCATCAGAAGACACGTGGCCAGTTCGTCCACTCCTGCCAGCTTGGACATCGTCAAACCGTCAGCTCGGCAGACAGGAAGTTCATCCGAATTTATCTCCAGCATCTGCAGTTCCGCATCTCCCCCTTATCATATTTGTAATGAGTAGCTCAAACTGACTTAAATAACATTTTATTGTGAGTATTCCTGGCCATCCCCTGGCAAGACACTAATTGTAATTAGTTATATTTGTATCATGTTATAAATAAAGGCAATTTTGTTAAAATATATTGTAATTTCAGTAATTTAGTCTAATCCGGTGTGGTGCGAGTCGTGGGTGCCAACCTTAGTATAAGGAGTACTGGTGGCGTAAACAATCAGTATTAATCGCTTCTCGAAGGTGAATATACTCTTCAGATCGGAGTTTGGTCTGATTAAACCTGATGAATGTTAATCTCTCCGTTTCAATTTTAACATACATGTCAACAACATATTTGTGATATAATCGCCGACATTTCAATATGTGATTGTCTTCATTTTCTCGAATCATTAGGCGGTATGAATAATAGTTCATTGAACTGACTTTTTTGTAGGTTTCAGAACCTGTAAATAGATTTTGTTTTTATAATATTGAAATATAAAATTAAAATACATAATAAGGTGACTGAGATATTATCATTGTTAATGAGAAATCATAGCCATCTTCACCTTGCCAAAATATGATGTGATATTGCAGTGCATCATATGAGCTTTATGTTTCCTTCATACTTTGTAATCGATCATTCCGAAAATTTAAAACAATATCACGGGATTCAAAGTTTTCCCCAACTACAAAGATAGCAACTTCGTCAATAGTTGGTGCATTAAAACGTCTTGCATGTTGACCCGCGGGTGTTTTATCAGCTCTGATTACAATTTTGTAATTATCAGATAGCATCAGATCTAGTGCAGTTTTAAACAATATAATCAATTGATTGTGTTCATGAAATAAAGTTTGTAATTGTTCTAAAATAGACTCTTTACTAAATTGTTATGTGCACAACGCAGATCAATTTCTTGCCCATAAAATAAATTTACACTAATTTGTAGTTGCTATCTAACACTGGCAACAGTGAACCTGATCTGTGATATATTTGGCCTTGCATAAAAATATTATGTTTGTACCAAACACTATAAAATAAAATAAAATAAAATAAATAAGCAATGTGGGGTATAAATTTATGGATATTTTGAGATAAAAGTGTCACTAAAACTGAATCACCAAATAATATGATGATTAAGTGACAGAAAATATTGTTTGTTAAAATAATTATGATTGACTGCTATAATACATACCTTGAGAGTTGGCATACAATTTTCCGGAACTACATTTGTTGCCCCAAATGAAGTCATTTGAAAACAATTGTTATATTGTTGGATATTTGTCAAAAAGTGTATGGAATCTGTTCCTATTCCGGAAACCAATGAGTACAATTGCTCTGGTGGTGGATCCAATGGTATCAATTTCACTTTACCATTTGCGCAACACAATCCATTGGCTTAATTTTTTTATTTCAAAACCTTACAAGGTGAGCAAACCGAGTTCATAGAAACAATAACAACACAGTGGTAGTTACTGTAGTCAATTGACACATCGTAACTGAAAGCAACTCGATTTAAACTTGCACGATTATTAGTTGAATGTCGAGCTCGCGCTTCATGCGTTAATGATATCCGAATTATTTCACGTTCATTTCGGTCATCACGTTCTTGTGCACTTTGGTTAGATCGGTAACCTACCTTGGTTTGTAGCATTTCGGGTTTTTCTACCTAAATTGCTTCGTCGTATAGGAGGCATATCAAATATAAATTATTGTGTCACATGCAATAATTAGTGATCATATTTTACTTAACACTGCACAAAACACGATATACGAATTTAATTCGTGTATCAGTTGACAAAAGCAAACTCATTAGAGTAGGTAACAGAAAATCAAAGAAAAACAACATTTACGACATTGACAGTTTGTTGATGTTTCAATTTTCAACTTTTTTAGTAAAAATGTACGTCTTTAAATAATATGCATAGACGAATAATGAATAAAAAATGTAATGGCATTGTAAATTGTTCATCTACCTAAAAATCATTTTAATTTTAATCGTTCATTAACAGAGAGCTCACAAATAATCGACCACCGTAGATGATGTTCTTGACCAGTGATTACATTGCCATGGAGACGATCAATATTATATAATACATATTATAGTAAGGGCTGTTTTAAAAAGAAAAAGGCTGCTTTTAGGGTCTTCCCAGCAATTATTCGAATTTTTCTCGCTGTAAAAACCATCCTTGGACTTCAATGAACAATAAAAAAAAATTGGCCAAATTGGTTCAAGCGTTGTTGAGTTATGCGCTTACCAACAAATTTTGCGATTTATTTTTATATAATAGATATACATATATTTTAGTATACGACTATAGTTAAAAAATGTGTTTGACACGATTATTATTTATTTTCATAATTAAAATTATAAAAAATGAATTTTTACACCTTTTTTTACTCCTTATGGCCAATCAGGCCCGTCTGATTTATTTGCTTAAGGCCTGTGAAACACTTAATCCGGCACTGAATAGATTACCATCCGATTTTCGGGGAAACAATGAGTCCGTCATCGATATGAAAATATTTTGCGCTGCTTATGTTTTTACAATCCAAATTCGGTTGATAGATCTGACCGTTCATATAAAATAAACAACATCACAAAACATATAACTACAAATATTCAAAAAAGTTATTACCCAAATCAAAACCTTTCGCTAGACGAATCTATGTTATTATGGAGGGGGAGATTAAGTTTCTGCCAGTATATTAATAGCAAGGCCTACAATATAAAATTTTTTGAATAATGTACTAACGATAAGTTCGTATTAGATCTGTTAATTTATAAAGGCAAAGGAACTATTGAAAACAACACACCGTTTATTTTTGGGATTGTTGATAAATTAATGTCAAATTATTTTGGAAAAGGCCATACTTTATACATGGACAATTATTATAATAGTATACCTTTGACAAATTACTTATTAGAGAATAATACAAATGTCGTGGGTACATCGAGGAAAAACCAAAAAAAAAAAACCGAAACAAATAATGAATGCTAATTTAAAAAAATGGGAAGCAATTCACGCAGAAAATGGAAATATACATGTTTTAAAATGAAGGGTTTCAGCCAAACATGATTTACATTTTACTTCTGTGATTGACAAATTTGGAAGGAGTACATTTAAATTAACGATGGTTTTTTATTATAATAATAATATGTCAGGTATAGACAGAGCAGATCAAATGATTAGTTATTATCCAACTCCAAGGAAATGTTTACGGTGGTATATTTAAGTGTTTTTCCACACTATGGACATATGCTTATGGAATGCTAATTATTTATATAACAAGCAAAAGCCAAGTATGTCTCATTTAAATTTTATAAAAGAAGTAGTTAGTACTTCACTTGGTATTTTGAACACAACGCGCTGTAGTATACAACCAGTTCAAACTATACAAATCTTGCACCAAATTCAGAAAGTTCCAATTACAAAAAGATGTAGATTACTCGTATATCACAGAAAGAAAATAAGGAAAACTACATTATATGTGTGCAATACATGCTTGGATGATCAGGGAAAATCAATTGGTTTATGCCCTGATCCCTGTTTCGCAATTTATCATTCGTAATTAATTTTTTAATTTTTATGAGTTTTTTTTATCAAGGGTTTGGTTTATATTTTGTTTTTCTATGTTATTAAATATTTTATAAATGTTCAGGTTGTTCTATTGATATTTTATCAGTATTTTATAAGCAGTTATCTCTTTAATTTTTTTATTAAATTTATAATAATCTGTATTGGATTAATAATAATAATTATTATTATTATATAGGTAATCTACATTTTTCACTTACGTTGCAATAGCCACGCCCATTTTTAAATATTGGGAAATTTTCGCATCAATATTTAACATGCAATTAGCATGACCAAAACTTGAATTTGCATGATATTGGTCTAACGGTTAAATCAAAAATTTGATGAGCGTCGCATATAAAAAGAACAAAAAAATCTTCAAACACGCTCAACGAGCCAGTCTCACCAAACCTTCAACACATTATAACTAATCATCCTGTTATCAATATAAACAACAAAGATAATTTTACATATGATAACTCCATGGCCACGTGCGACACTCTCGACGATAATAGTATTATCGATAACGGCGTAATTAGCTCTTCACCATCACCCGATCAAGTTATTACAAACACTACCTCATCTCATTCTACATTACCTGCTGCCACACAAACGAAACTTATCGCTGACCAACACCTCAAACACTTTGAGCCCACCTTTGACGGTACACCGGTAATTATCATTGAGTTAACCGATACTAATACTTCCACCTGGCACCCGTTAAAGTGGGCTAAATTGCTTAGTTCTAACTTTTTTGGTATTAATAATATTAAACCTAATGGTCACAAAAAAGTAAAAGTAACATTCGACTCGACTTTTCACGCTAATATTTGCCTCGATTCGCCTCTCCTAGCTGAACACAATTTACTGGCCTACATACCCTCAACTCTAATATTCTCGTACGGAGTTATCAAATTGGAAACCTCCTTCTCAGAGGAGGATTTTTTTGAAGGCGCAAAATGTGTTGTACCCTTTATTGGATTCAAACGTATTGTCGTCCACAGGGACGGTAACCCCACCCCTACCCGCATTGTTGATATTAAAATTTTGTCCACCAAAATTCCAAAATCACTATCAATTTTCAACGTCCCCTTCGATGTCTCGCCTAGCGTTCGTTCGCCTCTTAAGTGCAACAAATGCCTTCGGTTTGGACACACCCACAAATTTTGTCGCAGCAGTCCAAGATGTAGCAATTGTGGAGAAAACAAGCACTCCATCGACCAGTGCCCGACCGTACAAGCCACTGATCCTCGCTGCCTTTTCTGTCACCTACCTCATCTCGCCACCGAAAACATCTCATTCCGCGATGCCATCAACTTCAAAAAACAAAATCAGGTCTCTTCAGCTTTTAGTTATTCTAATATTGTTAACAAACAGCCTATGGTTTCTTCCAAAAATATAATCCCCCCTCCCCCACAATCTAATCATCATCACTCGCTCAACGCCACTGAAACCAATTACACGCATCTCCACTCTCCGAGAACTTCAAGGCACCATTCCCCTTCCCGGGCTGTTAAACATTTTAAACTTCCCACCCAAAAGAACTATTCCCTTAACAATGGCTCGTTTTTAGAATACACTCATAATAACCATTCGATAAATGAACCTCCAAATCAAAATAATGACCTCACATGGGTAAATACTCTTTCAACCAATTTAACATAATCATTAATTAATGCTCCTCTCAATTCTCAAACAGCTAGTTCTCGTCAAAACCTAATCGAATATTCTCTTCTCGCTCTCTCAGCAATACCTGGTTTTCCTTCTATATCTCTACCTTAACTTATCTTAGTTCCAAATCACGCCACTTCTTTTCGTACATTTTAATATCCTAATTCTATTTTCAAAAACAAACCAATGGATTTAATCAATATTTTACAATGGAATGTCCGTAGCCTCCCAGACCGATCTCCCTCCATTCAGAAACTCCTGTCTGACTCTAAATGCCCCAAAGCATTATTATCCGAGACCCATTTCTTCTGATATTTTAACCAATCAGTTTGTTCAAAAGTAACAATTTATTTTTAAATTTTCTTCCTTAGCCTTTTGTATTGGTAAATAATGTGTATCAAATTTTAAAGAGCAAACATACACATATACACATTCAGGAATTATTAAAATAATTTGTGAGAGACTTTAGTACTTGCATTGCTTCAGAACTTAGTTTTGCGCATAGGTACGATCTGGTCTCAAACTTGGATCAGTTTTTTGGAAAGTTATCTTTAAATAACTTAGATAGACTTATAGATAAAATGAAAAGTG